GTAAAGGCAGAAGTTATTACTGTAACGCGCTCTACATGGGGCTGCCCTTGAAGAGTGTTCGAAGACTCCAGCTGGTCCAGAACNCTGAACTGCTGAACTAGCAGTCAGCTGAAGTGGCCTGCAATACTGCACTCTACCCACTGCACCACCTCGGCTCTCATTTGACCATTGAATCACTGAAGTTAACTATTATTGGTTGTTAAACCAATTACACAGTCATTAAGCAAATCCAACTTCCCGCTTTGCTTGCCGGAAGCTGGCTGGGAAGGTCACAAATGGAGATCACATGACCCCAGGATGCTGCAAGTGTCATATATGCAGAGCGGCTGTCAAGTGCCCGAATTTTGATCACGTGACCGTGGGGATGCTGCGATGGTCGTAAGTGCAAGGATCTGTGTATTGATTTTACTAATATGAGCACCCTTCATATGTGTAAATGCCAAATCTCAGGATGGTAAATCTGGGGAGATGGTTTCAAATGATTGCTAAGCAACCAGTGATATGTTGAGGACCACCTTTAGAAGGAAGCCCTACCAAGAAAGATCAGATGGACTTCACCTACCTTGAACGCTCAACTCAGCGATGGTTCTGCTGCCTTCCTTCATCTCGCAAATGTAGACAGCATCATCATCCATGGTGACATTTTGGATTGTGAGTTTGCGGCATAGCCCATCTTCTTCAATCTTGTACTTGTCATTCTGTTGAAGTCTGGTCTCCTCTTTGAACCAAGTGGTCTCCACGTCAGAACGGGGCACTTCACACAAGAAAATCGCGGAGTCCTTCTCCCGAACTTCCAAATCTTGGAGTTTTGTCTTGAAAGGTATTCTGGGTTCTGGGGAAGAACCAGATGGAGAAATTAACTTTGGTAAGACACAAGACTGAAGAACCATCAAACAGCAAGTGTGGATTCTTCTCAAGATCATGTAGAACATCAGTAGAACAATGTGATCTAGAATGTCAGTAGAACATTAAGATCCAGTACAACAACAGTACAATGTTATGCTCTAGCAGAACACCAGTAAAATTATGATCAATTGGTGTATCAGTATAAAATTATTATCCAGTGGAACATTAACAGAATGTTGTGATCAAGTAGTAGAACATCAGTAGAATATTATGATCAACTGTAGAACATCACCGCAACCTTACAATCAAATGGAATATCAGCCTAAAATTACTGTCAAGTGGGAAATCAAAAGAATATTGTGATCAATAGAACATCAGTTGAACAATATGATCAAGAAGAATATGTAGAAAATGATGATCAAACGGAACATCAATAGAACATTATTATCAAGTAGAACATTAGTAAAATGTTATGGTCAGGGACAACATCAGTAGGAAATTATGCTCATGTGAAACATTAACAGAACATTATGACCAAGTAGAACATCACTAGAACATTATAAGTGGAACATTAGTAGTAAATTGCTGATCAAGTGGAAAATCAATAGGACATTGGGATCAAGTAGAACATGAGTAGAACATTATGATCAAGGGGATCATCTGTAGTACCTTACAATCAAGTGGAACATCAATAGAACACTGTAATTAAGTAGTAAAACATCAGTAGAACATTAAGATTAAGTAGAATTTTGTGATCAGGTAGAACACCTTTAGAAAACTGTGATTACGTGGAATATCAATAGAACATTACAATGAAGTGGAACATCAGTACAGGTAGTCCTCGACTTATGGCCATAATTGAGCTCAAAGTTTCCAATGCTAAGCAAGATAGTTGTTAAGTGAGTTTTCCCCATTCTATGACCTTTTCTTGCAGGAAGTGAAAACTCACTTAACAACTTTCTCAGTTAGCAAGAGAAGTTTTGGGTTCCATTGGGGGGGGTCATAAGTTGAGGACTACCTGTAGCCCTGTCTTCTGTGAATTAATTCAATCCCTTTCAAAGCCTTGGATGTGAGCAGTCACCATCCCTTCTTATAATTTAGTTTTCTAACTCCCCGTGGCACGACAAAACCGCGCTCGACTAAAGCGCGCCCNCTATGTGGGGATTTTGCAGCAGGTGTCCAGGTGAAGCCAGAGAGGTTAGCAAAAAATTGTAATTTCATATAAATAAATATATTTTCCATCTCTATATATACCACAAATAAGAAAATTCAGGCAAACAGGAGGATCATGAGGTAAATTGCAGAGAACACCAAAGAAAAAGATGGGGAAAAAGGGAAACACCCCCTCCACACTCATTGCAACCAATCACAGCGCAGATTGCCTCAGGCAGGAACCAGCCCTCTCCCATCAATCAACTGTAACGGTTTGTTCTGGCTCACCACACGAGTCCCCTATTAAATTTAAATATCGTAACATACTCACAGTGGACGGAAACATACCCTGAATTTATTGCATATTTTTTGTGTCCAGTGCACTGCGGTTAATCCTCAAAGCTGGGAATGGTCCATCTTCAGCCTTGGTGGATCTCGAAAATCACTTGGATGGGAATCCACCAGATCCCACCCAAATAAACCAGGCTCAGAAACCCCAAATATTTCCCCCTTTTTGTGTTTTCGCAAATGCGTTTTTGCAGCTTGCGTTTGCCAGGATAGCAGGCGATATCACCCAGCAAGAAACGGAGAGAGGGGCTGGTCAAGGGCAAACCAGGTTCTCTTCCTAACCCTGGCTTGTAAAGTGGACCAATGTGTCCAGGCAGTTCTCGAACTACGACCACAGCAGAGCCCAAAATTTATGTCGCTATGCGGGAAACTTGTTAAGTGATTTTTGCCCCATTTTACAAATTTTTCTTGCTGCATTTGTTAAGTGAACCCCTGCTGTTGTTAAGTTAGTCAACTGGTCGTTAAGTGAACCTGGCTTCCCCATTGACTTTGCTTGTCGGATGGTGCAAAGGGGGAATCAGGTGACCTCAGGACACTGCAACTGTCATAAAAATGAATCAGCTGCCAAGCATCTGAATTTTGATGGTGTGACCCTGAAGGTGTTGCAATGGTCGTAAATGTGAACAATGGTCATAAGTTACTTCTTTCAGAACTGTTGGAGGTTTGAATGGTCACTAAACAGACTGCCGAAGAATACCGGGTATGTGCTGCAAAGTTCAAAGGCATCAACATGTCTGCAGTCCGTTTAAATGCTTGGCAAGCAGCATGATAGGAACTCAGGTTACAGAAATCAGATGACCTCTTTCGACCTTTGATGCAAACAAGCATGGATTGACCCTCTTAGATAACTACCGTGTTTCCCTGAAAATAAGACATGCCCTGCTAATAAGCCCAATTGGGCTTTTCACAGCATGCAGCATAATAAGCCCTCCCCCGAAAATAAGCCCGCCTCCAACTATTTAAGCGCATGCGCAGCCGGTCCCCGTCATTACCACTGTACCACTTACTGATACAGCTTGCGGGGCAAATGAGGGCCCGCCGCAAAAACAGATGCAGGCGAAGCAAAGTGCTTTCCCCTCCCTCCGCCCTTCCCTCCCGCGCAAAAAGAGCCCGCCGCAAAAAGAGTGTCAGGCCAGCAATGCGATCACCCCCTCTCGCCTGTTCCTTCTCGCACCTACCCCACCCCAATGGTAAAGGCAACCTGCCTGGTTCCCTTCCCCGCCACCCCTTTAGCGAGGGGGGAGAGAAGCGAGACGGATGTCCTAGCGCTACCAGAGACTGACAGCTCCGCTGCATTCCTCACCCTTTCATCCAGTGAAGCCCCTTGTAAAAAAAAAAACTCACAAGTTGAACTCATGAGGTTTTTTTTACAAGGGGATTCAATGGGCGAAAGGGCGAGGAACGCAACGGACCTGGAAAGGTAAGAGGCGCGCCTCGCTTCTCCCCCACCACCTGCCACCCCTCGCCAAAGGGACGGCGGGGAAGGGAACCAGGCAGGCTGCCTTTATCATTGGAGTGAAGTGGGCGGTGTTGGGCCGCGAGGTGCGCCTCTTACCTTTCCAGCTCCATCACGTTCCTCGCCATTGTGTTCAGGGAAGCCCCTGGTAAAAAAAAAACCTTTTTGCAATTTAAAGAAGTTTGATTGAACTCGTGAGAAGGTTTTTTTTTTACCAGCCACTTCCCTGAGCACAATGGCAAGGAACGCGACAGAGTTGGAAAGGTAAAAGGCGCGTCTTGCTTCTCACTTGCCCCAGAAAATAATAAGCTCTCCATTATAATAAACCCAAGGCCATATTTTGCGGAGTAAAAGAAAAGAAGACCCTGTCTTATTTTAGGGAAAACACGGTGCAGGCTCCAGAAACAGATACGACTATCCATTTATGGTGATAGCTTTCACATGAAATTCCCAATCTTCACTCTCCACAAAGTAAACCATTTAAATAGCATTTCCTGCCTCTAAATAATTTGCTTTCTTCTAAAAATATGAGATGTTCTCTCCTTGCCCTGCAGGCATGCCAGCATAAACCAACTTCAAACGGAAAACATTTGTAACTTTATAGAGGAGTAAAAAAGGTTCACATGTAAACAGACAGAGATTTATCTATAACAGCCAAGGATTTAGGTGGGGGAGGATATTTAAAGAGCTAAGAAATAATTAAGCTGGAAAATAATGGTACAAAACAAAGACATAGGAACAAGGACTCAAAATCAATAGATTAAATAGAATAGAATAAGATAGGAGAGAAAAATACAAACAAGCATACAATAAGCATTTACTTCAGAAGGAATAGGAAATTAATTATGTACAATAAAACATATTTGTGTAAGAAAAACAAATGCAGTCTTTGTGATCTCTACCATACTTAAAAAGCCTAATAGGGATACATTGCAAGGTAAATATTCAAAGGGTTAAAGGATCAATCTATAAAATGTTGAGTTTTATATAAGCATATTTGGTTTTTAACACATCATAATTTATATTTGAACAAATCCAATATTATTAATTCCAGGATATACAACATTAAATGAAATCCAACCCAAAAATTGTAATACTCCAACTTTTAGGCCAGTATAATAAGAATGTTAGAGGCTATAACCCCATACAATCTTAGTAATTACCTAAATTGCAGGATTCTTAGAAAAAAAGAGGCAGATTTCAAAGGCTCATGTGCAATTACTTTATTTAAAAGATTCAAGAAGAAAAATTGATGTTGCACAATGCTTTTGAATAGCCAGTGTTTATAAGTCAGAGACAGGCTTGTGTGGCCAATGAGGATATTTTACTGGGTCCAGTGTAGGATCCTTAAATCTTTCAGGTAGATCTTCGTACGTCATATTTTCAAAAGGTATCATGTTTCTCAGTTGCTGAAGCTTAAGGGGGGAAAAACACCATAATTACCAACACATCATGAAGAGAAATGCTGAAAACCAGCAGGACAGAAATTATTAAGAGAAAATACAGTCCTTTTCAAAGTCCTTTTGTGTAATTAAAATTGCTATCTTACCTCCTCCTCATATTCAACAATGCGAGCTTTAGAAGCCTGTACGAAGTCAGCAGCGTTCTTTTCCTGAAAGAAGAGACAGCAACATTATCAGAAACATTGGTTCCAGAGAAGCTATCCATGTTTACTCATGGGAGCATAGAGGCCTGAATGGATGCCTCCCAATGCCTCTCCCACCCATATTTCTTTAACAGGGAGCAGGGAAAATGAATTAATGGGCAGGATTCAATATTTTAGCAAATACCATATTTTTTAGACTATAAGATGCACTTTTTTGTCTCCCAAAAGGGGGTGAAAATGTCTGGGCATCTTATAGACTGAATATTGCCAAAGCCCCACCCACCTGCTGGCCATTTTTTGGCCTCCATACAGCCCTTTTTCAGGCCCTTTTTGGCCTGTTTTGGAGGGCTTTTTTGGCCCATTTTTAGGCTTTTTCAGCCCATTTTCAAGGCTTTTTTTGGGTACGTTTTCCCCAAAAAAATGGGCCGAAAAAAGCCTCAAAAACAGGCTGGAAAAGCCTCGAAAATAGGCCAAGAAAAGCTTTGAAAATGCCTTGGCTCACAAGACTAGGACCCTGGGATGACAATTGGCAGACTCACGTTCAAGACCAGGTTGCTGCAACAGGATAGGTTGAGCTTCTGTCATATGCTGCAGCTCTTGCCAAACCAGAAGTTCAAAAGCGGGCGACCACAATTAGATAAAAGGGAACCATATCAGCAGCCAGTGTAATGGGGACATGAAAGGGGCTCCCAACTGGGCATTCCCCTGGGCAACAGTAATGTCACCATTCAATCCTTTGAACCTAGAAGTGCTTTGGTGTTCCTGATACAAATGTAGTAGTAGTAGGCTTGGATTTCTTGGATATTCCATCATCAGAACTTTTCACTTACTCCATGCAGAGAAAGCATCAGGAACTTTGGGTTTGGTTGATTATATAATTCATTAGAACTTGTTTTTGTCATACATTTTGATTATTAGTTCATAAAGTAATAGCAAGAAATGATAAGAATGTTGAATGTATTTTAAAATTTGGAATATGTCTATAATAGCCCAGAAAATGTAGCAGTTGAAAATACACTCCTAGAAAATTGAATAGGTAGGTTCATTCTCCTGCACCTGGCATAAGAACAGTGCAGGTTGTGTAAAATATGGGCAGTCTGAACTTTATAGCCAATAATAAAGTCAACAATACCACAATTATAGTGACACAGATTTATACATGCCCTGCAAATAAATATCCATGTGTACATAAAATATGTATTGGATATAGTTAATTCTCATAATCCTTTTTGAGACTGACAGTTCAGTCACCAGATCTCTCAAACATACATCCATTCCATATGCTGTATTTTATGAGTGCAATAGGAAATGGATGGTTCCATAATTCCTCCAAAAATCAACTAAGTCATTGCTATTTAGAACAGATAATTACATATAAAAAACATAGCACAAGTGAACTTTATAGTATTCACCAGACAAGGAAATTTTATTTCCTCTTCCTCATTTTTGCATACTTGTTCTAATTTTCTACTTTGTACCTCACAAATGCTATTTATTATTTCCAACTTTTACTCTTAAGGAGAAAGAAATGGAAGGTCTTCAACTTATTCTTCCACACAATGTAAGGCCTGCAACTGTTAAAATTGGCCATTGTCAGTACTACGATTCTAGCAGAGAAATTACTAAAGACAGAAATCCATAAACAGATGGAATGTGGGAAGCAGGGAATGGTATTCAGCATAATTTAACTAATGGCACCAAGAGTAAAGATTAGGTCAGGAGCGATCTGCTAAGATGTCAGATACCTCTTCAGATACCATTTATGTGTAATGAAAAGAATAATAACAGGAACACTTACAGCCTCCTTTTCTTGGGCGCTTATTTTAGCTGTTTCGGTATCCGCAGGCATAGGAATCTGCAGTGTCTTAAACTGTGAAAATTGAGGAAATAATTAATGAAATGTGTAGCTTCTGCTTTCCAATTCTATGCACACCATGTGTACCTTCTTCCTTCTATTTATATTTCTAATTCAGCAGTATAGTACATAGTTTCCAATATCTCTGGATTAGGTCCTTGTACATTTATGTCCTGTTGAATAAGAACCTTTCAAGCACAAAATCTAAATTCTCATTTCAAATATCTACTGCAGACTAACCTTTAATATCTGACAAAAGAACTGGGCTCATTTACACATCTTCTAGAAAAAAATACATCACTTTATGAAATTTTATGTATGGGCAGCCAACCTTTTGACTTGCCTGGGCCGTACTGAGTGAAGAGGAATTGTCTTGGGCCAGATATACAATATATAATATGGTTAATGTATAGAAATATCGCTAAAATCACATAATATTGATAACAGTTTAAGATCTTGTGGGGCCAACTTACTTTGTGTCCAGAGCCAGGGGGCATGGATTGGGAAATTTAATTGAATAAGCACAAAAAGTCTCAAATCAAATTTCCTTATTCTAGTAGTAGTTAATACCCTTCTCCTACCCGTTAATTCCCTGAACCACAGCCAGTTTCAAAGATTAGGAGTTATCCAATGGGCAAAACCCCCAAAATAGTGGCCATTTTGCTGTGAAAGAGATTTTAAAATCTAGTTGACATTGTCCAAGGGCAGCAGTCAGTTCACAAGAAGAGACAGTAAGGCACTAAGGCTAATTTTAAAAAGTGAAAAACTTGTGATATCGTAAATCTAATAATAAATGTGGTGTTCTCACATTATTTTACAAGAATTATGCTAAAATTTTACCAGATTTACAGATTCAGAGTGGTTTTGATGTTTTTTCCTCCCTTCTTACATTGGGCAGCCTGTGATCTGGCACTTGGGTTAGAGTAGCCAATTCCCTTACAAGGAAGGGACTGCAGCTGGATCTCCTGCCTGGCTGGGTAACCAATTAGCCCAACACTTTGCTCTTCATAGGGAAAATTCTCTGAGATGACTGTAGCAATGTTATGTCACGTTATCTGGACTCCTGGCTTCTGAATGGTATTAAAATGGATAGGGTACTCTCATCTGCCACACCCCACATGAGCACCTGACTCTCACCCCTCTAGCTTCTTTGGGAAATCAAGAGGAGTATGGTCAATGTGTATCTTAGGGAGAGGTTGGTGCTGGCATCCTTGAAAAGACTGCATTTGAAAACTAGCTGTAACCTTACTTTAGAGAAGACTAAGAGATTCTAGTCAGGATATACCAACAGAGCCCCCTTGGGGACCCTTTTGCGTGAGGTTTTAGATCAAGGTGTGATATTAAGACAGTATAGATCACTCTTCTGGATTACCACTGTTATGTCCTGGATATTGGTACAAGTAGTCCTAAGCTTACAACAGACTTTGGGACCAGAATTTCTGTCATTAAGTGATTCAGTCCTTAAGCATGACATCACAAAATTGCTTAGTGATGGCAATCCTGGTGGTCCCGGTTACTGTCATAACCCAGAGACCAAGCAGTAATTAAGTGAGGACCTTACATGATCAGAATCCTAGATAAGCAGGGTCTTCCCAGCTACTACTTCGTTGGCAGGAGCCTTTCCTTAGCTTCAGTTGATATAGCAGTTGCATCCCTACTTAGAACAAGATCTTGCAATAGTGATTCATGCCCACATCCTCTTATCTAAACAGCTGCACCCCACTTTACACACAAATTTATTTCTGAATATCCTTGAAAACGTCAATGGCTTGGTTCTGACAGTTCCTTGAAATCAGTACAGTATTTTGCTTTAGGCTTTGACATGAGTGCAGTATTGTGCTTTAGGCCTTGAACTAGCTTCCCATTAGCTTCTGAGTACAATTCAAAGTACTACATAACTTGGGATGAGAATACTTATAGAAGCACTTTTTCCACCCAATTTTGAAGTGCCAGACTTGAATAGCTCAGAAGAATCTGCTTGTGAGTCCCAACTTTTGCCAGGTGAGAAATATGAAGGCTCACATAGCCACATCTCTGTAGAAGTACGTTGAAATAGCATCCTCCCAGATATTTGATTCCCCCCCCCCNGCGGTTTTGTGGTGGAACCCTAACTCCCAACAGTGGAACATACAGGTAGTCCTAGACTTACAATCATAAGTCTTAAAAGCCATAAATTGTGAAGTTTAAATGGGCCACTATGTAACCACACCAATTTTACAACATATACAGGGTGGTCATTAAATCAATCCGATGGTTGTCGAGAGAATGCTACAGTCGTTAAGTGACTGATATGCTCACAAAATAAACCCAGTCCACTGAAGGGTGTCTTTTTGCTATAAAACAGACATAAATATTGATTTCCAACAAAACCATCATAAATCGCAAGCATGTGACTGTGGGATGCTGAAAACGTTCATAAAGCAGGCTGGTTGCCAAGAGCCCAAAATGCAGCCACGTGACCAAGAGGGTGGAGGTCAAAATTTTGAATCTGGGTCCAAAGTAGCTTTTTCAGGATCTGTTGTAGTTTCAGACAGTCTCAAAGTGACTGGTTGTAAGTCAAGAACCAGAAACTCTGACGTCTTTAAGGGTCTTTGATTCAGAAAACATCACTGGATTTGAGATCAAGGAATCCATTTTACACAGGATCAAATCACCATCCCACCGAATGTGAAAATTGAATATCTGCACGCTGCTAATGTCAATCTCCTTGTAAAACTAGCCAAGAAACATGTTTACTTCCTTGGCACCTACTACTGCAGAAGATATGCCTGGGGTTAGATTTCTTCTAGTTTAAAAATACTTTTAACAGTCTTCTTTTAGTTGTGAAGCTAAATGTTCTTTTTTAAAAAAACAAAGGACACTATTACGGATTGTCCTCATTTGTTTAATGACTGTTCAAATTTACAACAGCATTGGAAAAAAAAGACTCCTGACCATTTTTTTCACAGTAACAACCATTGTTCCCTCCCTGTGGTCACGTGATCAGAATTTGGCCGCTTGGCAACTGCCTCATAATTATGACGGTCGCCGTTTCCCAGGATCACACGATCTGCTTTGGAGATCTTCTGACAAGCGAAGTCAACGAGAGATTCCCTTAACAACTGTGTTACTAACCTAACAACTACAGGAATTCACTTAACAACTGTGGCGAGAAAGGTCATAAAATTGGGGGAGAAAATTCACTTGACAAACATTTTGCGTGACAACATAAATTTTGGGATCAATTGAAGTCATAAGTCGAGGACTGCCTATGTGTTGTAAATAGAAAAGTCGGAGAATTTTTCTGCGTCCTGCTTTTGTTGAATGGACTGCTGATCTGAGATTATTTCCTTATACCTTCTTTTCCAGTGTTTCTCCATCTTGATAACTTGAAGACAGGCGGAGTTACAGCTACTCGCCTTTGACGATTACTAGCACACAACTGAAGGTCGTGCCAAGTTGTGTGGTCTTGAGCCCATTGTGTTACATAACGGAGGATCTATAGACACTCACCTTTGACAATTACCAACACAGAACTATAGCTTTGTCCTGCCACATTGTCTGGTCTTGAGCCTACTGTGCTACACAGTGGAGGATCTACGGCTACTCACCTTTGGTGGTTACTGACACAGACCTGTAAGATTTGTCCTGCCAAACTGTCTGGTGTTGAGCTCATTGTGCTACACAGTGGAGGGTCTATGGCTACTCACCTTTGGTGGTTACTGACACAGACCTGTAAGATTTGTCCTGCCAAACTGTCTGGTGTTGAGCTCATTGTGCTACACAGTGGAGGGTCTATGGCTACTCACCTTTGGTGGTTACTGACACAGACCTGTAAGATTTGTCCTGTCAAACTGTCTGGTCTTGAGCCCATTGTGCTACACAGTGGAGGATCTACGGCTACTCACATTGGGTGGTTACTGACACAGACCTGTAAGATTTGTCCTGCCAAACTGTCTGGTCTTGAGCCTATTGTGCTACACAATGATCTACGGCTACTAACTTTTGGTGGTTATTGACGCAGACCTGTAAGATTTGTCCTGCCAAACTGTCTGGTGTTGAGCTCATTATGCTACACAGTGGAGGATCTACGGCTACTCACCTTTGACAGTTACCAACACAGAACTGTAGGTCTGACCCGCCAAATTTGAAGCTGTGCAGGTGTAGAGGCCATTATCGACCTGTTTGCAGAAGAGGATCTTCAAGACAAAATTCTCTTGCTCGTCCTCGTAAATTATGTGTCTCCGGCTCTCCAGGATCACCTCTCCATCCTTCTTCCAAACCGTCTCCGGTTTTGGTTCTCCAGTTACGTAGCAACTCATTTTGGCATGCTTGCCCTCAGTGACAGTGAAACTCCGGGTGGTGACCCGATAATATGAACCTCCATCGCTTCGGAGTCCCTTGGAGGTCAAGCTAGCAGCCCGTTCGTAATCCAAGGACAAGCTCAATCCGAGTTTGGACCGTCCTTCGGTGGAGATCAAGGTGTCTACGTTGGGCAAATCGCTCTTCCGGATTTCTTCTCGCCTTTTCTGCATGTGGGACAACAACGGAGATGTCTTGCTACCAATGTCATCTATACTGTGTCTGGTGCTGCCTGGGCTGTACGAATCTGGGAGATCTACCAGCAACGCAGCGGCCGCGCTGGAGGATCCTAAAGGATTCTCTGCACGGCAAGTGTAGGTTCCGCTATCTCCCAAACGAGTACTTTGGATCTTCAGAGCGTTCTTCTCACCCTGGGTTTCAATCCGGATCCGGTTGGAGTCAGATGATTTGCCCAGATGCTTCCCGTCCTTCTCCCAATTGATGGCGAGGGGAGGGCTACCTTGGACAATGCACTTGAACATGGCATCTTCACCCATAATCACTCGGATGGATGTGGGCTTCTGGATGAAGTAGGGGGCCGATTCCGTCACGGTGGTCTGCTCGCCAACTTTGATGCTGACGGCGGCAAAGGCTTCTCCAATGGTGTTCTTGGCCCGGCAGATGTACTGACCGCTGTCCTCCAAGCTCAGGTTGTAGATGGTGAGACGAT